AAAAAAAAAAAAAAAAAAAAAAAAGAAGACAACAGGGCCTTAGATGAAAGATGATAGACCAGAGTGGACAAGATTGGTCCCCTGGGCATAGTGTGGACTGGGACAGGGACCTCTCCATGTGGGTTGTCATAGAAACCAAAGTAGGTGAAGGTTCAAGGGGGAGTCAGGGTAGCTGTGACAGAAACTAGTGATAGCCCTTGGGGACCAGGCTACTGTGGGCTGAGTAGTAAGCAGGAGCGTAGAGTTGAGTTTCAGAATAGTAAGTGGGCTGGAGGGAGTGATGGACAACACCAGGGTGGTGGAATGGCATGGGGTGACACACCTGAGTGCAGCTGAGTGAGGCAAACTTCCTGGCCAAGAAGGGAACCAGTAGTGGGTGAAGTTGGCTCACTAGAAGGCAGAAGGTGGGGTAGGGGTGTGAACCACTCACATTGGAGGGTTCATCAGTATCAGCAATACTGGGCATTGCTGGCAGTAAATGCTGAAGCAGTGAGGGTAGCTTCCTAGAGGCCTTGGGGCCTGGGGTGGCTGTTGGCACAGGGCTGGGTTCCACTGGGGTTTGCCCCTAGCCCTGCACAAAGCTCTATTCTGGGTACTTTGCCCACAGGAGCGCCCCCAGCCCTGCCAGGCCTATTTGTGTCTAAGTTTACGTGGGGGAAGACAAGGAGGAAGTGGGGGTGGTGAGAAGAATGGTTCTTCTGGAGTTTTAGCCCTGATGGAAAGAGGGGAGAGCAGAGGGGCTTTGGTGTCCTGTGAACCCTGGAACCCTCCCTTTTAAGGGCAGAGACAGGAAAACAGAAGGGGTGGGGCCAGGCTGGGCCAAGTGTGGCCCTATCTTGGGAGGTGGGTTCTGGTGGGCCAGAGGGAGAGTACCTTGAGGAGCCTGGGGACTATGCTCAACAAAATAAGGGGCAAAGACACCCCTTGCCCCTTGACTTCCTTCTCCAGGAACCTACTCAGAGGATGTCACGTGGGTGGGAAGTGCTTCTGGGTATTGTTATTTTTGCTGTTTGCCGGGGTGGTGGTGGAGCTGGGGAGTGACTCAGGCTTGGACTTTGTTCCCTGTGCGCATGTCATATGTGCCAGGGACTGTGCAGACCCTCAGCTCAGGGCAGCACTGAGCACCCTGGGTATGGGTCTCCAGCCCAGCTGAGTCTGGAGACTATCAATCTTTTTGTTGCCAATTGACAAAGACATGAGATTTTCTCCTGAAAGGCTCAGCAGGCAGAGCCATAGAACCAAAGTGAGGTGGCTGGCTTTACCTGGGATGGTGGATTGACTAGAGGAAGCTGAAGGGGCCCCAGTAAGGTCTGGTTTTAGCAGGCAGGCTGAAAGGAGTATGGCTGGAGGCTCTGGGCCCATCCAGGCTCAGGGAAGGTTTGCAGGGAGAGCTCAAGGGACAGCATGGAGCCCTGGGACTGTCAAGTTCTGGCTGTGGAGAGAGGCACAGCTTCCTCCCTCCCAGTCCCATTCCTGGTGGACTCTGGTGAGCACTGTCCACTTTGTAGCTGGCCATAGTAGGTTAAAGGCTGGGAGCTGAAAGCAAAGACAGGTAGAGGTTGTGGTGGGAGGAGGAGCAGGATGGGTCTGGAGGCCTGGGTGCTGGGGAGGGGAGAAAGACTTGGGCAGGAAGACAGTGGAGACAGGAGGGGGCCATGAAGCACTAGTTTCCTCTCACCAGGGCTGGGCCACAGGAAATCTAGCCCTCATGCTTCCCAAGGTGCTTCCTGCAGATAAGTCAGCCTGGACAGCCCCTTCCTGACCCCTGCTCCCCTGGCCCCACCCTTCCCATCCTGCCCCAATCCCTAGGGGACCCTCAGCTGGCTTGGGAGGTGCCTGGACAGGGATGGGAGGTCTGTGCATCCTGGGGCCACACTTCCTGGATGGGGAAGGTCTGTCCAAGCAGGGAGGAAGCTGGACCAGACCCACAGACAGCGCTGGAGACACAGCTGGGCCAGGTTAGTGGAGTTCTGAAAAGGCAGAGATTTTTCCTCAGTGGGGGCAGTATACCAGGCTGGTTCAAGGGAAGAGGGGCCCTACCCTGGGGTTGACCAGAAGCTGTTTAGGGGGCAGAGGGATGGTCAGAAATTTTATTGGGTCAGGGGGCACTTTGTGGTGGCCAGGTGCTGGTGAAGGTGGACCCGTGGGGAGCAAGGCTTGTTCTTGGAGGGTTGGATGTCAAGTACAGTTCTACGTGAGGTCAGGGTGTTTCTAGGATAATCCAGGTTGTTTCAGGGAGGGGTAGGGAGATTTCCTATGTGTATGAGGGCCTGGGCAGTTCAAGGTTATTTTTGAGAAGCTCAGGAATAACCAGATGATCTGTGGTTGCTCTTGGAGAGGGTGGGGGAGGCTGGGTCAGAGGCTGTTTCCCACCGCAGACAGAGGCTTCTCCACAGCTGCCTTAGCTCTGGGAAGGTTGTCCAGTGTGTGGCTCAGCAGGCGTCTGTTCTTCTGGGGGGTTAGGGGCTGTTTTGCCATGGTGGGTCAATGAAAGCATGTTGGGAGAGTTCCGTGGGAGTTGGGAGCTGTTTCTTGGGCGATCAGGGGCTCTGACGTTTAGGGGAGCTGCTGTTTGTTCTGGAGACCTGGGGGTACAGGGGTTTGCTGTGCTGGGTAGTTCTGTGAGGCTTATCAAGGTTGGGGGCCTGGTGCACCCCAGCGGGGCGGCAGTGCCTGAGCTAGTTTCTTTCCTGAGCTCCCCTCCTCCGCCCACTCATCACCCATCCCGCGTTGCCAAGACAACGAGTAAAACTAAAATTCACTTCCCAGTCGCAGGTGGAGACTAGTAGCACCCCCTCCCCTAAGCCCTTCCTCGTAGGTCGCACCACCATCCTGTCGTCGCAGAGGTGACGGGGAGGGGGCGACAAGCGTAGCGTCTCTAGGCCAACTGGGGGTCTGGGGAGTAAACTCCTAAAACTCGGTTGTGGTGGGGGCGCTGCGCTGAACCCTGCTGGGAGAGGTCGAAAGGGTTAATTCGAAAGGTCCTATCGCTCAGTTGACAGGAAAGCCCCTGGACTCTCCCCGGGCCTGAGGTTCCCCTGGTCCAACCCCCAGGACCGGGGTAGGGTTGGTCCTCGCCAACTCCTATGGGCCTGGAGTGGGGCAGGGGAGGTCGGCAGAGTGGCGGAGAAGCCGCCATCTCCGGAAATTAATTTTTTATCTCCTCTTCTTGCCCTGCCTTGGTGCCCCAATGATGCCTCTACCCCAGCTCCAGGACCCCCTCCATCGCCGCCTCACCTTCCCCTGTAGTCCGCGGATGCTCGCCCGCTGCGGAAGGGCGGCGCGGCT